CATAAACGGGTCATTGAAGTCTACCCTCTGCACTGCAAGTGAAGGGATAAGTAGAAGGATTATCCATGTTCGCCTGTCCATGAACCTTGGCATGGTGTGTGTGTAGCAAAGATTGATGCGCAGACAAAGTGATATTGGAAGCAGACGTTTTCTGGAGGTAATGCGGTTAGCCATCTTATGGTTAGTTTACAGACAGCTTCAGCCTATGGCTCCACCTGTTTCCGTTCTATTTTCCTTACGGTACAAAGTGTGGCGTTAGGGCGGAGAGGTAAGCGATGCTGGCACCATGGCCTATATCGGTGAGCAACAAGAGGTGTGGCTGCGTGCAGCTAGAGTTCAGTGGAAAGTGGGACAGACATATTTCCAATAGAGAAGTCGCACGGGGACCCTTAACGCTCCTAGAATCTCCCTTTAGCCCTATCTCCCTTTCCCTAATGTCGTCGATAACTCGTACACTGCACGAAATCAACAGCACAAGGAGAGGTTACCGCTGGCTTTCGTCTGCTTTGTTTGTATTTTTTTTTCGTTCTCGCTTAGGCTCTTGTTTCATTTTTGGACCGTTGTCTTGTCGGAATGAGCCAAAATGGTGGACGGGAAACTCAAGAACAAATATCTGCAGCGTCTTGCAGATCATGGATGGTCCATGCTTGTGTAAGGCAGGTGTGCAGGCATTCAAACTAAAATAAAAATATAGGTTGGAAGGAAAGTCCTGTCAGTGTTTTTTGAAAAGCTTCCAGTTTTTGATTCTCGATGCTCGTACATGACGTAACATGCTATGCTTGTAGACATTCTAAGAGCTTCCCTGCAAGAGGTGTGTGAGGGCGCGCTTTCCTGGGTTTAATTACGATGTCAGTTTCACAGGAGTATCTTCGGGTCATCATCTTCTATCAGTGGCCCCGCGGCACTGGAGCCACGGCAGCTGTCCCTAACATCAGCAGTGTATTGGGGGAGGACACTACTACCGGCAGGACTACCCACGTAAACCGTAGTCAGACTCCCCTTCTCTGCCCTCGTCAGAAGGAGTTTCCAGGAGACTGCTTAGTGGGGATGAGAGATGGGTCCTCTATGATTTCAACCCACACAGTACCGTTTGTCTCTCTCAAGGAGAAGATCCATTCTAGCAGTCCAAACCGGGCATGTATTCCGAGAAGGTTCTCCTGTGCTGTTCCTGGGACGCGGGTGTGATACTGAACGAGCTGCCCTCTAAGAACAGACGGTCATCGCTACCATTTGTGTCGCTCAGCTCCTGGAAACTGTTGGTAAAACATGACCGAAACTAGCTTCGGGTCACCTCGTTCGTAGTACACGAGACCCCATACCTGCTATGAAGACCTACCAAATAATTGAGGAGCAAGGCTGGGAGACCAGTCCCCGCTCATGATATTCTCCCGTAGTCCCCTACGACTGCTACCTGCTCCGCCTCCTTAAGGCTTTCTTAGCTAAGAAAACTTCAAGCAACTTTGATGACATCAGTCGAGAGGGCGCTGACTTACTCTACTCGCAGCCTTCTCAGTTCTGGGAGGAGGGGAATGCTTACCTGTCCATTGGGTGGAGCACTGTAGTGGCTAACTATGACGAGTATATTGTTGACTATGTTGACTAATTCCCATTGTAGTTGAGTCAAAAAGAAAAAAAAGTCACAACAGTGGCAAGACCTTTCTTCCAACGTAGACATTCGCACAACGAGGAGTGGAAAATAGGAGAAAATAAAGAAAATACCTGCATACTTGATTATCCTCTCAAAACTCCTCATTACTTAGCTCCCCATAAGTTGAAGTATTGAGGGGCAATATAGTATTATGAGTTCCTAGTTAACGCAGTAGAAAAGCTACGCATGTTTTCATGTGCTTCATATAAAGTTTGTGCATTTTGCTACCGCAACCCTATCTATGGTAATCTGAACGTTCAACAAAACTAAATAAACAAGCAAAACTCAAAAACTCAGAATTCTGATGAGCTCTGAGAGCTAAAATGTTTTCTAGAGTCTTTGAGATGCGTTCTGAGATCTCATTTTATTATTGAACAGTCGAATAAGAGGTCGTTATTATTGTGATAGAGCGGGGTGTGGTTCATTTTTTAGAATGGACAAATTAGACGGTTTGGCGAAGGATGGTCTGTCGTATCGCTCCGATACATTCTCGATGAGCATTTTGACGATGGTAAGATTTTTAGTTGTCTCGAGCTATCTCATCGGTTTTTTTCGGTTCCGGTTGTTAGAGCTTTCCAAGCCTTGTCTCTGTGTTTCCTCTTGGTTCTTATCAGCGTTTATCACTCTCTATCAATTGCTGTCCATGTCCTCCTTCATCAGTCGCTAAAACCAGGGCAACATAACCAGTTTGAAAACCAGGGAGCCATGTTGGTGCGACGCGCGCTATGGATTTCGTGACAGACTGTGCGGCACTCAGGGTGGCTGCGTTCATGCGCGGCAGCGTAGCGTCCCAAGCGTCCGGCAGCGTCAGCGAATAGGAAGGTGTACCTATCGATATACGTCTGCCAGCTTCCCCTAGGAATCAGCAACGTCTCGAGGGGGACTCGTAGATATTCCTGTGTCTGCAAGCGTCTACCCGCGACCACTAGCAGACTGTTGGTAGAGACTATGCGTGATAGGAGGTGTAACAATACCAGCTGTCTACCCTGATACCGCGCCATATCCTGTACCTGCAGTCCGCTACCCTCCTATCTTCCCCTACTCTACCAGCTGTCCGCTACCCTCCTACCGCGCCATACCCTCTACCAGCAAACCGTAACTCTCCTAACACTCTGGTATACGGACAACTGAAACCCAATTCTATCTATGGCGTCAAATTTCTGTTTTTCTTTGCGTTCTCTTGCCTGAATGGCGCTTTGTGACCAATCTGACCATTTCACCTTCCAACTTTTCATGCATACTAAATGGCTCACCCATCTCGGCGTTTCCTCCATTGGGAAGAACTCATCTCTTAGCTAACGTCATCCTTTTTATCCCTGAGAATGCATTGGCTGTCGCGGTCCTTTATTTCTCTGCGCTCTGGCCTATCGGAGCAAGACCCTTGACAACAGTCCTAGTTTTCACGTAACCTCTCACTCTTTTCTATAAACCACAATCTTGGTGGGTCGGATTGCATGTGTGTTTGTCGGTTTGTGTGTACACTCCTTATCCCTGAGCCAGAGTAGGCGTGGCATTTGAACATGGCACGGAACTGGTTACTCGTGGAATATTCCAGTCTGGGACAACTGTCATCTTGTTCTGTGTTGGACAGAGACACGACAACAATTGTGTCAAGATGAAAATATCTCACCAGAAGCATAGACACCTTCAGGTTAAGTTGAAACATGCGGCCACGCCTACCCGATCTCAGGATTTCGAGAATATGTAGGCCTGTCCGTCTGGATCGACTCCTGAGTGCGATAGAGTGGCAGAAATCGTGTGCTAGCCGAAACAGAAACCGATCGGTGCTGCAGTATCGTCGAGATGATGTTTTGATTATGATAGCCTTCACTCTCCCCGCCTATAAAAGACAGTAATTGCGGTCGACACTCGATTAATGCTCACGGTCAGTTGGTAGGATCTCAGCTTGCAGTAATAATGACCTTACGTGGATACGTGGACGTCCAAGCGCTACACCCGTGCAAAAACCGCAGCTTTCCCACTACCAGCTTGATGCCTTAGGCAACGTTCAGACTTCGCGACGGCAGCGCTTCGGTCGCGCGTTCGACGCGATCGATGCAGTCGAAAGCATGCGCATCGATCGTCGAATCGCGCGACCAGAGCGCTGCTGTCGCGAAGTCTGAACGCTGCCTTAAGCCTTGAACCATCAGGTTTTTGATGAACATAGAGCAAAAGGTTGTCGCATCCATTGTCAAGGTTTCCCTCGGATGTCTGGCTTCTATGTAAGCGTATCATATCACAGCGCTAGGCATCAGCAAATGGCTGCGAACGAATTAGCAGAATGGCCTCTCGAAAAGTGAGCGTACCTTTTTTCAACGCAAGAAATAGAGAATTAAATCCACCGGAATTTGAGAACTAAATGAACAGTTATGTTTCCATTACGAAGCGCACCTGACGGAACCTGCCAGCCCGGCGAAGCAGGGCTGAAGAGAAGGAGGAGAGCTCG